GTTTTGGTGAGTTGTGTTTGTTTGTGTTGTTAGGTACTGCTCGCTTGATTTTGCGAGGCAAGTATATATATATATATGTGTATATATATATGGACGTGTATGCCATTCCGCGTCTCCTGACTTTGTTTTGTTTTGTGGTCACCTGAGCCACATCGCAGATGCGGCTTTCCGGCGAGTCAAGACACGAGCGATAGGCCATGGAAAGAGGGGGCACAAGAGGATGAAGGATGGGTGGTGGAGGAAGGAAATCCAGATGTGGAGAAGGGGCTGGAGGATGATGAAGATTAAGATGAGGATGAGGATGATGACCAGTGGAAGCCCAAGATACACCCTCCCTCCAAGCTCCCTCTTCATATGCCCCATACAAGGGTTCACTTCCACTGAGGGAAGTGTCCCGTTAGAAGACAGCCGCTTGAAGATCCTGACCCTTGCCAGCGCACCGTTCCTGGGACCTCAACGCCACGAAGCAACCTTACCTTTCCATAGTGATGATCCTGAATTGTGTCAGAACGCAGTTCCTGGGATTTCAACACCGCGAGTCAACGTAACTGTTGCGCCCTGACAGTCCCATGCTTATCCTTGACCCATGCTTATCCTCGAATCGGATGTAAGCTCTTAACACGGCTTTGCGCGGCGCTCATGCGATAGCTACATTTTTCAAGCGGACCGCCGTCCATCTGTGAGAAGTTTGCAAAGGTTTAAACCTAATGTGCGCGGCGCTCAGGCGAGAGCTTCATTTTGAAAGCAGACCGCCCTCCCTCCGTGAAACTTCTACAACGATTTAAAGCGAATTTGCGTGGTGCTACGGCGAGAGCAGCATTTTGAAAGTTGCTCGCCCTTCATCCATGAATGTATTGCAGTTCTTATGCGAGGAACGTACGCGGCGCTAGGGCCTCTGTGAAAGTGACCCGCCCTCCATTCGCGAAGCTGTTGCAACTTCCAAGGTTGAGGGCCATAAGTCGTGAGGAAGGGTGAAGGTAACGCCCGGACCTGGCCCGCCCTACGGACACGTCTTGGAGCGCGACAGGGGGAGTTAATCATAGAGAGAAGGAATTGGGGATTATGAAAAAGATGAAGACTACGTCTAGGGTGAGGAATAGGAGGAGGAAGAGGAGGATAATGTGGAGTACCAGGAGAAGGAGGAGGAGGAAGGCGCAAGGCGGAGGAGGAGGAGGAGGAGGAGGAAGGGCGGAAGGAACGACAGCAGCAGGAAGAGGAGGTTGAGGAGGAGGAACCCGCCAGGAGAAGGGGGAGGAGGAGGACCTGTGTAACCCCAAGGCGCATCAACGAATCAGCAATGTGTTGCTTCCAAGTTCCTTCTTCATGTGTCCCGACATGAACTTATCTCGCTTGCGGGAGGTGTTTCGCTGCAAGACAACATTCCGCAATCGTGATAAAACACTGCTTCTGGGATGTCAACGCCGCGTATCAACGTGATTGTTGCGTCCCGAAGGATCCGACACCGTGCCAGGATACCGCTGTTGGGACTTCAACACCGCAAATCAACGATATGCTTGCGTCATGACAGTTCGCAATCATGCCAGAGCACAGTTCCTTGGACTTCAATCATTTGAATCGAATTTCGCGTCGCTAAGGCGCGAGCCACATCATGACACTGAACCGCCCTCCATTGGAAAGGCTGTTGAACACTTTTAAGACGAAGGTGCGCTGCGCAAATGCAAGAGCAACACTTTTAAAACGGCTCGCCCTCCCTTCTTGAAGCTGATGCACGGCGCTAAGGCCACTGACGCAGCTGTGAGAAATTTTTCAGACGGATGTGCGTGGCGCAAATTCTTAGAACCACATTTTGAGAACCGCTCGCCCGCCATCCTTGCTGCTGCTACATATTTTCAAGACGCGCGCGTGTGTGTGTGTGTGTGTCTGTGTGTGTCTGTGTGTGTCTGTGTGTGTCTGTGTGTGTGTGTGTGTGTGTGCGTGCGCGGCGCGAATGTGAGAGCAACATGTTGAAATCGACCCGCCCTCAATCTTTGACACTTGAATACGAACGTACAACTCGGTAATGCGAGAGCCACATTGTGAAACGAACTTCCCTCCATGGTTGACACTGTTTCATTTTTCAGACGAGTCCGTACGGCACTGAGGCGATACCAGCCCTTCTACCACAGTTTGCCCTCCATCCTCCTTGAAGACGAGCCACATTTTGAAAACACCCGCCTTCCATCCTCGAGGTTGTTGCACATTTTGAAGATTCAAAGTCGTAAGTGGTGAGGACATCTCAGGCGAATCGCCTTGCCGTCCCTGCAGACACGTCTGGGGTGCATGATTGGGTGAATCATCAAACAGGGATGGCGGAGGAGGAGAAGGAGGAGGAGGAGGAGGAGGAGGAGGAGGAGGAGGAGCCAGAGCCCGCACCTGAGCCTGAGCCCGAGCCCGAGCCTGAGCCTGAGCCCGAGTGGAGAGGGGAGGGGAGGCGTCGCGCCAGGCGCCGACGGTGCCGCAGCCCGTGGCGACCCACGCGCCGGCGGCCCACGTGGAGGCAGCGCCCGCCGCGCCGCAGAGCGTGCCAGCCGCGCCGTGCGGCTGGGCGGCGGCCGAGCCCAGCGCGCCCTCTGGATGGCACAGCGGGGCCTCGGCGCCCGCGCTGGGGCCCCCGCTGGCGCGCGCGGACGTGGTGCCCTGCTCTTTCTCGGACTCCCGCATCTCGGCGGCCCTATGGTCGTGCCCTGAGGGGTGGGGCCTCGAGGACAGGGAGGGGGATCCTGGGCCGAGGCTTCAGAGTTCGAGGCCCTCCGCCTCGGGGCCCGGAGTCCCCCAGGGCCCCATCTTTGGACCGCCGACGCATCGCTTCCGCGGCCCATGCGGCGGCGCCGCCCTCCGCGCCCTGGGATGCCCCTCGGCAGCCGCAGGCCGCCGCCGCGGCGCATGCTACGGCGGCGGCGCCGCCGCCGCCCCCCGCGCCCTCGGATGCCCTGCGGCAGCCGCAGGCTGGCCTGGCGGTCGAGCCGTCCGCCCCCGCGGGGTGGTCTGCGGGGGCCACGGCGGCGGCGCCGGCCGCCAACCCGTGGCGCCAGCAGGCCTGTGGGGGGAGGAGGAGGGGGAGGAGGGGGAGGAGGAGGAGGAGGAGGAGGAGGAGGAGGAGGAGGAGGAGGAGAAGGAGGAGGAGGAGGGAGGAGGAGGAGGAGGAGGAGGAGGAAGAGGAGGAGGAGGAGGAGGAGGAGGAGGAGAAGGAGGAGGAGGACGAGGAGAGGAGGAGAGGAGGAGGAGGAGGAGGGGGAGGAGGAGGGAGGAGGAGAGGAGGAGGAGGAGGAGGAGGAGGAGAGAGGAGGGGGAGGAGGAGGAAGGGAGGAGGAGGAGGAGAAGGAAGAGGAGGAGGAGGAGGAGGAGGAGGAGGAGGAGGAGGACGAGGACTAGGACGAGGAGGAAGGGAGGAGGAGGGAGGAGAGGGAGGAGAGGAGGAGGAGGAGGAGGAGGAGGAGGAGGAGGAGGAGGAGGAGGAGGAGGTGGAGGAGGAGGAGGAGGAGGAGGAGGAGGAGGAGGAGGAAGAGGAGGTGCGGTTTGATTCATCGGCTTATGCCGCACCGCCGACCCCTTGGGACGGCAGCCAGAGTGAAGCACGGAGTTTGCGGAACGCACGCGCTCGCTGGGCAAGCTTGGGGTTTCGGCCCGCCTTGCGTAGCGTGTGGGGTTCAAGGGGGGCCTAGGGGATTGTTTTGAAGGTTTTCGTGGTGTTATGTGCGTTTCTTGGGGCCTTCACGATGCCTGTCCCAGGCCTCCTTATCCACCCCCTGGATAGGCTCGGGGATCGTTGAGACCCAGCTGGGGGTGCGTCCGGCCAGAAGTTCGAGAGTGGACCCAACTGTGTCGACGAGGAGCTACCTGAAGGCCCAGAGGGGGCGGAGAGCGCCCAAGAACTAGGAGTCTCATGCTTCGAGCCTCGATCCACCCCGTGTTCCTTCCTTTGCGAAGGGGTGGCACCGGCCAGGGAGGTCGATTCTCATCCCGGACCCTCGGTGGTGGTCCCGGGCACCGAAACGGTTTCTGGAGGCTGAATTCGAGGAGATGTTTCGGGTGGTCGAAGGACAGCGAAAATCTGTGAGGCATCGGCGGCGACGACGAAATCTTCTTTCTTTTTGTTCCTCTTCCTCGTTTTCCTCCTCCTCGTCCTTCTCTTCTTCTTCTTCTTCTTCATCTTCTTCTTCTTCTCGATCGAGGTAGATGCACGCGGCAGTTCCGGCCGCCTTTCCAGATATTTTTGTTTGAGCAGCTATTATTTTTGATCGGTTTCGACCTTCGGGGGCCGTTGCTGGACCCCGGTACTTTCAAAACCGGGCGGGCTTGGGGCGAGAAATTGCATCGGCGGGCCCGGGGAGAGGTTCGGGGAACGAGTTTGTGCAAAGTAGCCCGTCGGATTCGGGAGGTTTCTTGTGGTTGGGGGGGTCGGGGCCCCTCACCTGTCGCCGCGGCTGGATGCATTCGGGAAAACGATTGCGACTGGATTCCGGGAAGGGTCTGGGGGGCCCATGGCGAACGATTTTTTGCGTGGGGAAAAGGGAAGAATTTTATTGCGGAGTCTTAGCGTTTACATTTTTTAATGGTTTTCGTCGTCGAAGGGCCGCCTCCAGGTCCCAGGGTCATTCGGGGGCATTGTGGATCTCCGTCAGGGCCTCTCGGGGGCATTTAGGCGTCCTTTCATTCCCAACCATCCTGTGGTGTTGGGTCCTCGTTTTGAAGAGACGGTGCCCCGCGTTCCCGCCTCCTTCCTCCCTCCCTCCTCCCCCCTCCTCCCCCTCCCACACCCATTCTGGCACACCCCTCACACGTTTCGTGGCCCCATAGGGAGCTCCACGAAGGCCCCAGTGGCTGCGCCCGCATGCGTTCCACCACCCATTCTGGCACACCCCTCACACGTTTCGTGGCCCCATAGGGAGCTCCACCGAAGGCCCCAGTGGCTGCGCCCGCATGCGGTTCCACCCCCCATTCTGGCACACCCCTCACACGTTTCGTGGCCCCATAGGGAGCTCCACCGAAGGCCCCAGTGGCTGCGCCCGCATGCGGTTCCACCCCCCATTCTGGCACACCCCTCACACGTTTCGTGGCCCCATAGGGAGCTCCACCGAAGGCCCCAGTGGCTGCGCCCGCATGCGGTTCCACCCCCCATTCTGGCACACCCCTCACACGTTTCGTGGCCCCATAGGGAGCTCCACCGAAGGCCCCAGTGGCTGCGCCCGCATGCGGTTCCACCCCCCATTCTGGCACACCCCTCACACGTTTCGTGGCCCCATAGGGAGCTCCACCGAGGCCCCAGTGGCTGCGCGCATGCGGTTCCACCCCCCATTTCCGGCCCCATTGCGGCACACCCCTCACACGCTTGGTGGGTGGCTCCATGGGGAGCTCCACCGAACGCCCCAGTGGCTGCGCTCGCATGTGGTTCCCCCCCCCATTTCGGCACACCCCTCACACGGTTCGTGGCCCCATATAGAGCTCCACCGAAGGCCCCAGTGGCTGCGCTCGCATGCGGTTCCACCCCCTTTTTCGGCACGCCCTTCACACGTCTCGTGGCCCCATAGGGAGCTCCACCGAACGCCGCAGTGGCTGCGCTCGCATGCGGTTCCACCCCCCATTTCGGCACACCCCTCACACGCTTCGTGGCTCCATAGGGAGCTCCACCGAAGGCCCCAGTGGCTGCGCTGGCATGCGGTTCCACACCCCATTCTGGCACACCCCTCGCACGTTTCGTGGCCCCATAGGGGGCTCCACCAAAGGTCCCAGTGGCACTGCCCGCTTGCGTCCGCCACCACCCAGCACAGCCCTTGTTCCCTGCGCTTCACCCACCCAGAACAGCGCTTCGTAGCCCTATAGGGAGCTCCACCAAAGGTCCCAGCGGCACCGCCCGCATGCGTCCGCCACCACCCTGCGCAGCCCTTGCTCCCTGCCTGCGTTTCACCCACCCAGTACAGCGTTTCGTGGCCCCATAGGGAGCTCCACCGAAGGTCCCAGTGGCACCGCTCGCATGCGTCCGCCACCACGCAGCACAGCCCTTGCTGACCGCGTCTCACCCACCCAGTACAGCGTTTCGTGGCCCCATAGGGAGCTCCACCGAAGGTCCCAGTGGCACCGCCCGCATGCGTCCGCCACCACCCAGCACAATTGCGGCATTCACAACTGCATATGGTTGGGTCCTTCGCCAGGCTAATGTTTTCTCGGGGCGAAGTGCTCGAATCTTCCATTCGGGTTTCCCTTCTTACCCTTCTCTTGGGGCCGTCCTGGGGCTCTCCCTGGCGGCTTCGGGGGCCCTGTTGGGGCCCGTTTGTGCCGTCTGGGAGCCTTCTCGGGGGCATGCGCGGGCTTTCGGGCTGATTTTTTTTTTTGGGGGGGGTTGTTGTGGGACTCGTGAAAACCCAAGAAGCGAATGTGTCAAACTTGGACGTTTCCTGTCGGCAAGGGTCCGAGGCTTGGTTCTGCCGGGCCTCTTGGGACGCGCCCTGGTGGCGTGTTGGGGCGTCTAGGGGTCAGCTGGAGGCAGTGGCGGGCGTCTGGGAGCGATCTGCTCACGAGACGTAACTCGCGCTCTGGAACCGTCGGGGGAGCTTTGTGGGACCCATTTTGGGATGGGGTCGTCCTGGGTCGGTTCGGTGGCTTTTGAAGCCTCTTGGCGCCCATTTGGGCTGTCTTGGGAGTCCTTTTGTTTTTTTGTTGTTGGGTCGTATTGGGTCGATCTGGAAGGCTTCTTGTGCTGTTGTGGGCCTCGTGAAAACCGAGGAGGCGAATGTGTTGGAAATCTGTGTCGTCCATCAGCTGATGAAGCGTTTTTTGTTTCTGGAAAGCCTCTTGGGACGTCTCCGGGTGGTTTCTTGGGGCGTCTTGGGGCCTGCAGGACCGCCGGGAGGCAATCTGGAGCGTCTTGGAGCGATCTCTCGACGTCTTGTAGCCCTCGTGGGCCGTCCAGGATGCCCTTGGGGATTCTCTTGGCCCATTGTGGGACCCTCTTGAGGCTGTCCTGCTGCTCTCCTGGGCCGTCACGGTCATTTCTGGGGCCTTCGCGGGGCCCCCGCTGGCCCGGACCTTCTTGGGGGCCTCTTGGGCTATCTGGGGTCGCTCCTGGAGGCTTCTCGGGCCGTTGTAGGCCTCGTAGAAGCTCAAGAGGCGAATGTGCTAAAAATGTATGCTTTCCCGAGGGAATGGGACGATTTTTGCTTGTGGAGGCCTTCGTGGAACGCCTCGGAGTAGCTTTTTCAAAAGTTTCGGGGGCCTATGGGGAATCGTTTGCAGGCAAGCTGGGGCGGTTTGGACCGAATTGTCCCCCCCGTGGGCCGTCCAGAAGGCCTTTGGGAACCTTCTTGGCCCGTTGTGGGGCTCTCGTGGGGCCATCCTGCGACTGTCCTGGGCCGTTTGCTGTGGTTTCTGAGGCCTTCGTGGTGCGCCCGGAAGCCGTCGTGGAGCCTTTTTGAGGGCCTCTTGGGGTGTCGGGGGTCGAAGTTGGAGGTATACTGGGCCGTTGTAGGCTTCGTGGAAGCCCAAGAGGCGAAAGTACAGAAGATG